AAAAAATTATTAATAATATTATATATATTTATTTAATAATATATTATGATAATAAATTTAACGACTTGCCTGACATTGTAATAATTATAGGATTGCCATATAAAATAAATTAATAAAAAATAAAAACGACTGTTATTTGAATCATAAAGTTTTGGGTAGAATCTAAAAGGTGCAAGACAAGCCCAAATTGAGCGGGTCTATTTAAAATAATATTAACCAAAGGCCACGAACCCATATTACAATTGGAGCCTCGGCCCTTCAGCCTAGACTGGCCTCTGGCGGTTAGAGGTCGGGACCTAAACTTCAACGATTGGCCGTCAGTTCGCGGCACCACTAGGCACTATCTACCTTCAACTTGGGAAGAGAAAGTAGTTTTGTAGTACGATATAGAAGTGTTAAAAAATAACCATTAATAAAGAGGATCGAAAGGGGCTCATCCTTCGTCAATAGGTGTGTTGTTGATAAATAAATAAATAAATAAATAAAGTGTATTTTCTCACGGCATAAGTTCTTAAAACAATGAGAATATGCATTTTTTAAACAAATTAACTACTACACCTTCAGGTACTTTTCTCGACTGGTGTTTTAATAAGTTCTTAAAGAAAACAATGAGAATATGCTTTAGAATAATCAAACTTTCTTAGTTGCCAACCAATCCCATTCAATTGATTATCAATTATTTAAGTAATTTAATAATAATTTTTTATTTAAAATAAAAAATCATGAATTTGAATTGCAAAATATATAAGTTAAGTGAATTGAAAAATAAAAAAATTATATCTCTCATTATTAAAAAAAAAAAAAAAAACCTTCCGCCACTTAAGTGGGTACAGTTGCTGCCTTAAAAAAAAAGATCTAAACCATCCCAGTGCCAATGGATAACAAATATATAAAATAAATTCAATTCAAACTAAATTAAATTCAAAACAATCAATGTAGGGTATGCAATTAAATTAAATTGTATTAGATAACAGAATGTTATCTCTCATTATACAATTTAAAATAAATTAAAAAAATTCAAACTAAATTAAATCTAAAACAACCAATTTTAAATACAAAAATTTAGTACAAAATTACTTTAACATAATACAATAAACAATTTAAGACAATAGAGAACCCAATTCCAGATATAAGTCGAAAACATACATAAATTATCCTTATTCTTCCCCGTCTTCTTTCAGGTTCTTTTTTGAACTATTCTCTCAACTTTCTCTATTTAGTTCCAAAACCAAAATGACTCATCAACAACCAACGAACGTGAGAAGTTCTCCACCCTTGCTTAGTTGATCTGCATGGACATTCGGCCTGCATTTAATAGCAGCATAGCACATCAATTGTACCCAAACTTTGCCCATTCCCTCCCATGGATAACCATCCTCCCGTTCGAGCCCACCGGCAACCTCAACTGCTTCAGATAATAACTTCATTTCTTCATCATCATCTTCTTCTTCTATTTTTACTTTTACTTCCTGGGACGCGAACAAGATCTTTTTAGCAAAACTCCTCTCATTTGAGAAAAACTTCAAGGGTACCATTGACCTGGTCTCTTTAGATGTTCTTTTAAACTCATCTTTCCAATTGTCCAATACACCGGCCATCATGGTGGGCTGCATCTCTACAAGGTAAAACATATAATCTGAAAGTAGTTTGCATATTGATCTGTAAGTATCAGTTGTCCCATGCCTGCGGTTGGTGGTGTTTCGGAAGCATAATTCAGTGGCTATGTGCCACACCAGGAGAGTTTGTGTGTAATCCAACTTTCCAATTTAAATTCTTGATCAACTCCTGCTGCTTCTGATTCATGACTGGCTCAAGAAGTTTTTCAAATTCTTCTTCTGACAACCAAACTTCTTTCTCCTCTTTGTTTTTGTAGCAGTACCTGCAGTCAAATTTCATCTTTATTTCCCACAAAATGAAACTCCAGAGTGAGTCCTCGAAAAGTTGGAAGGACTGACAACGGAAATTATTAATGACTTTGGACAACAAAGTCCCTACGGAAGGAAGATCATCCAGTTTTTTCACATGATGTGTTAAAAAATTGAGCTGTGAAACTGTTTTCGACCACCTGCGCCTTTTGATAGGTGCATCAGGCAACTCACAATTGTTGATAAGTTGAGATCCATCTTGGATGTGAGAAATTGCAAACCAATCTAAGCTTTTAATTAATATGAAAGATAAGACATCCATTGCTAATGCCCCAATCAGCAAACCATAGGTTATCAAGATGTCAGACAACTCCCAACTTGTAGTGCTTCTTAACCAATGAGAACGAAATCAAGGCAACCAAGATGCAACCAAAATTTGCCATACGGAAATAGGATCCAGTCTTGCTGTCTAACAGGGGCAACTTGGTGTGAAGAACCTCATACAAAAGGCTTAGCTCAATCTCAAAAATCCGAAGCACTTCTCCATCACTCCTTCGCAACATGATCCTTTCTATGATTCGCTTTAGTTCTTTTTCCTTTGGAAGAGGGCCAACAAGTATCCCCTTTAAATTGCTGAAGAGTAGAACTGCAGTTCCTGATATTGATTTGTGGTTCTCCATGCCATGGAACTGTTTTGGAATGACTAGTCCAGTTTTCCCGCGGACAGGCACCCAATTTTTTTCCTAATTTCTCAAAGCTTGCACGGTTAAGAGCAAGGGTCCGCCCAAAGTATTGATTATGCCCACAAGTAACACTAGGATGGTTGCGAGCCAAAGCTCGTTATTTGGTGAGGACTTAAAGAAGGCGTAGATAGTAGAAAAAACCTGCGACAAGAACGCAAGAAAGTGCCTTTGCCACAATGTATTATCCTGTTGAGAATAAGAGGTAATGGCGTCGGAACGACCAAGGTGCACTAAGAGAAAGGGTGTCCAAAAGGCAATGATGTCAATAGGAGGGCAGCTTGACTTGGGACTGTTGCTGTGTAAGATGAGTCCCATGCTAGATGTAGCAACCTAGTTTGCGAGAAAATACACGAACCAAATCAACCCAATGATCCATTTCCCCCGGCCACTTTGAACTTTTCTTTTTGGTGCCAACAGATTTAAGATGACCAGCAGAGAGAGGCTTACATGTTCAGATTTTTTATCAAAGAAAATGGAGAGAATTTCAAGAGAAGAAGATGAAGAGCAGAACACATAAAATGGAGAGGAGTATACCACTCCAACTCAAATTTTCTCATTACAATTTCTCCTATTTATAGGAGAATACATACTCAATTCAAAATTCAAATCTAAGCAATTATTCTACATTTAAAAAACAAGAAAAGTACACTTTAAATTTGAAAATAACAGTCACTTTTGCTGCATCCTTGCGTCCTTTGGCAGCTCTGCAGCATGCTTGGTCCCTTCGTTTCATTTGCATTTGCATTTGAGTTTGCATTTGCATTTGCATTTGAGTTTGCATTTGCATTTCATTTGTTGCTCATTTGGAGCTTCATTTCATCAACATTTGCAGCTTAGCTTGCTGCACATTTTTGCTGTCATTTGACAGCTTCATTTTCATCAGATTTACAACTAAATTGCTGCCATATTTGCTGTCAAATTGCAGCTTCATTTGCTGTCAAATTGCAGCTTCATTTGTTGTCAATTTCCAGCCTCATTGCTGCCATTTCATGGTAGTTTCATTTAATCATTTCTGCAGATTTGAATGCCACGTTTCTAGCAATAATCCCAACATTACAATCATTAATCCCTTAATACTCCATGCATTCCACAGCTTCTGAGCTCTTTCAGTAAGAGACAGTGCCACTGCAATCGTTTTGTTTCCCCAGACAATTTCTCTGGGACCTTTATTCTGATGTGAGGTTTCATGGTGTAAAGAAAAGGAGGCAGATACTACAGTAAATATTGACTTAATAAACTACCATGTATGATTATTCCAACCAATAATGCTTCCAAATCACAGAGCAGGAAAAAGACACGCCAAAAGGTTATATATAATCCTTCCTATACTAATGCATTTAAATAAATACAACAAACAAGATCAATAAATAAATAAATACAAAAGAAAAGAAATGGATAATATATACGACAAATTTACAAAAGGGTATATATAATCCTTCCATTTGGATTTTTTCTGTGCATATCGTTTCGAAATTTCTGTGCATTTTACAGAAATTGAAGAAACTAATTAATGGACTGTTTGGAATTAAATTTTTTTTTTTTTCAACTTTCTTTAGATGGACGGTTTTGGGTGGGGGAAGGGTTTCTTTAATAATCACAGAAGTTTGGTGTCCCCTTTTTTCTTTTCTTTATTTGGCGGTAAAGGTTGGAACAGCTTTCGTGCAATCCGTGATTTGTTGAGGATTTGAAGGGAGAAAGGTAGCTGTCAAACACAATTTCAAGGCTCCCCCACATTGACTATGTGTATGATGACTTAGGACGGGAAACATTAGGTAGGTAAGTTGTGGGTATAAGATCAATTAGTAAACACTGATTCAAG